TTGTAATAATTTTGACATAAAATGAACGTCTTATCTTGCTCTCACCTCCCTCAATCTATACTACTAAAAAAAAATTCCTCTTACTCCACACTCTGCCAACTGCACTTCCATGGTTACCCTGGAGGCTGCAATCTACTTAAGCGGAGGAACGTGATAATGAGAAGCGGGGAGGAGCAGGAAAGGTAATCAGACTCTAGCTGATACGCTCCCATTTTCAAGAATTTTGGCATGTTACTGGTACGAAGAGATGTCATCTTTTACAGTGAAGAATTGATTATACTGAGGTAAAAGGGGTTAAATAAAAGGTAGTATTGAGGTAAAAAGAACCAAAAAGCGGTAACTGAGGAAAATTGATAAAAATTTCAATCCTTAGCCTCCTGTAAAAATAGATAGCAGGTTGAATAAGCGTAGCTGCTGTGATCATACGTTTTGTGCAGTTCTGTCCAGTGAATGTGTACTGCTGCTTTACCTACATCATATGCGCTGTAGAAATTTAGCGTGCATTTATATGTTTCTGTCTGCATAGCTGAGTTTTGTGTGTTGTGTTGTTGTCTTAGTAACATCACGAGCAGGGATTTTAAGCTTGTGAAATCGCATCAGAAGAAAAAATCCTGCAAATTTTTGCGATTATGCCTTTCGGAATTCGCTTGTCTGGGTCTGCGTGTGTGTCTGGGTTTGCGTGCGTGTGTGTGTCTGTGTGTGCCTGTATGTGTCTGTGCATATGTGTATGTGTGTGTATGTATATGTGTGGTTTCCACGTGCCCTCACGTGAAAAAAATTTTAGAGAATTTCATGGCACCACCGATAATCTGCTAATTGGTTCGCTGGATGTCTGTATACATCTCTCCATGCAAGTTCTTCGATCCCCCATTTTGCAACATGCTTTCAAAATAACACAAAATGTGCATTCGGCAAAGTAGGATATAACGGGCTGTCGACGGCCCGTTAAATTTTGACGGTGGCCGCGTAAATTCTTAGTTTTTGCGATTTTGTGCAAGTTTTGGGGTCAGTTTGCGATTTTCACAATACACACGCACGGGACATGGGTGATTATCTTACGACTTTAGGGCTTCTATTACAGACAAATGATATTTTGGGTTGTACAGTGTTAACGCTTTCATGCTTCCTTCCACTTGCATGGCCAGACGAAGGGCCTCAGGGGGATTTTTATGTGGAATAAGCATAGAGTCAAATGTGAAGCAACAACCAACCATTCATGCAGTTAACGACCTGATTGCTTCAAATTTAGCGCAAAAACAGGCATGATCGCACCGATAAGCTTGGTGCGCTGCAGCTTGAGTTAAGTGTTTTAGAAATTTTTAAGATGCAAACTATGAATATCACTGGCTTGAAGATTGGAAGAATTGGGGGCCTGGAGTCTTCAGTTTGTTTACATTCATAGCCCGTTTGGCACTATAGACCGTCGATGAGAGGGACACAGTCGAATATTGACAGTTGTGGGAAAGCAGGAATTACCAATTTAGATAGCCAGGCGACCCTGTAAGTACATTTAGCTGTTGTCCTCTCTGTGTTTCATCCCCAAACTGTAAACACAGTCGGCAGAGCCAGTGCGGAATGGGATGGGAATCATCTGGGTACGGGGTTTGGGGATGGTACCTGTGAGTTTCCTCGTCTAGTTGATTTTCTAAGTTGGTGCTTGCGAATTTCCTCTCAGCATCGGGCTTCTTGTCCCTTCCCTTTCCCCCCGCACCCCGATAATTCTCGTCTTTGGTTCCAGTTCCTATCTTCAAGCAAGATCTCAGCTCCTCTCCGATTACTCTCTCCGTCCTCTCCCCTCCGCTATGATCCCCTGAAACCACTTCCACCACCACTCCGGCCGCCCCAACCCCTCACACTTACCTTTTTCCCCGTAG